TGCATTTTCTACACTGAAGAAAGTGTTTTTTTTTGGCATAAATCTAATTTAATTATATTTATTTATGTAATGATCAATTAATCAAGTTCTTAATGATCTTTTATACTGAAGTAGACCCAAAACTCTTAGATATATCTTTACAAAAAAACTTAGCACTTTTAGATCTTAGTCTTTTTTTATAATTTTTGTGTAAGAAAAAAATTAACGTGTGAGGTATGTTTTTGTTTTCTTCTTCTTTTTTCTAAGCCTTTTACTGTGAATTACATAGTGTTATTGATGGAGAAAGGTTGATCATGGCAATTATAGCCTTCATTACCTCATCCTAAAAGGACTTAGGCAGCTTTGTATAAGAGCATAGATCTAATTCTTTAATAATGGTTATGTTCATTCTCTCAGCCACTTCATTCTGTTGTAGAGTCTTAGGAATTGTCTTCTTCAACTTGATATCATGTTCCTTGTAGTTCTTCTCAAAAGAACCCCTGCATTCACCACCATTATTAGCTCAAATACATTTTAGCTTTCTACTAGTTTCTCTTTCAACTCTGCTATGAAAATCATTAAAGACATCAAGCATCTGATCTTTGGATTTTAAACCTATTGCTCAAATTTTCATGGAGTGATCATCAATGAAACTAACAAAGTACAATGCACCCCTAAGAGACATATCAATTATAGAGCAAACATCATTATGAACTAAATCAAGAACATGTGATCTTCTATGTAAAGGTGATCTTTGAAACACAACTTTGTGTTATTTACCAATTAAACAATGAGTACATGTGTTCAAGTTCATATCTTTTAATGAAAGGTAGTTCTTTTTAGTAAGGAAGCCAAGACCTTTCTCACTTGAATGTCCAAGCTGTTTATGCCATAAATTAGTAAAGCAATCTTCAATTGCCTTCACCTCCCTTTTGATCACCTTGGCATATGACATGTAGAGACCCATTTTCTTTCCTTTAGCAATAATTATAAAATTTTTAAAGAGCTTTTATTTACCATCTTCAAAGCAATTTTGATAGCCTTCTTTATCAAGAGTACCTATAGAGATCAAGTATAGGCATATATCAAGTACATGCTAACATCTTTAAGTAGCAACTTGCATCCAGTATTGGTTTCCAATCAAATATCTCTGATGCCCACAACATTAGCTATCTCTTGATTTAACATCCTAAATTGACTAAAGTCACTAGTAGTATAGGATGTGTAAAAATCACATCGAGTTGTAATATAGTAAAAAGCTACTAAATCTACAACCTAGGTGGTATCCTAACAAACAAGATTAACACAATCATCATCACAAACAATGGTAATATGACCATCAAATACGATTGGAGCTATACCATTCTCTTTATTTTTGTCTTCATTTTTACCCTTTTTATCTCTTTTATACTTTCTACAGTCTTTTTGAATATGCCCAGGCTTGTCACAATAATAACACTTAATTCCCTTACTTGACTAAGATCTTCCTCTTGACTTTCATTTGCCTTTTTTATTGTTGAATTCTCTATGTTGCTTGTCGTGAGAGAACTTACTTTGACTTCTCCCTTAACTTTTTGTAACAAGTGCATGAGATTCAAAAGTTCTTATCCTTTTCCTTCTTTTCTCTTCATTGAGGATACAATCCTTCACTGTTTTTAAAGTGATCTTTCCATTTGGAGTAGAATTGCTAAGTGACACCACCAAAGTCTCCCAACTATCTGGCAATGAACTCAATATGATTAGTGCTTGCATTTTATTGGCTAACTCAAGATTCATCAATGATATAAAACCTTGATAAAAATACACTTTTAAGTATTAATCATCTACCAGCAATGAAAGCTAAATGGGTTGAGATGTTTTGAAATTTTATATTTTAGATTATATTTTGACGGAGACTCAACTATAAATTATAAATTATAAATTATATTTTGAAATATTATAAATTATATTTTGAAATGTTATTTAATAGATTAATTTTTTGGGTTGAGATTTTTTTAATATGGTATCAGAGTCTTGATGACCAAGTGGTCACAAGTTCGAATCTCACTAACCCTATTTATTTAATAAAAAATTAAGTATGAAGTAGTGTGGGTCTGTGCAAGTTTCATGTCCAAATAACTTTTACTTGAGGAGATATGTTAAAGAATAATACAAATTATATTTTGACAACTTATCTAATAGATTAAACTTTTAAATTAAGATGGTTCTTTGATATGAATATTAAAATTTCGGTCAAGAAACTACATTCTTGAACAAGTCAGGCCGGGAATAATATTGCAATTGTCTTCTATATTTTTTATTGACCAAAATACTATAAATTCTTTGTTATCTTGTGTTCTTAAAACTATTTCTTAGATTTTAAGAGTTTAAATTTTAGAGCTGAGATGATTTTTTATATTATATTTAATTTTAATAGCAAAGAAATTAATGTGTCAGTTTTTTATTAAATTAATAAAATCAGTGATAAGATTGCAGTCAGCATGCATAAATTTTTAAATTCAAATAAGTGTCAAGTATTAAAAATTAATTTAAAATTATTAAATGAACCTCATTTAAAAATTAAAGATTTTAAGTTGAAATAATTGATCAGCAAATGATAAAGGGGTTAATTGTGAATCTAATAAACAATTTAAATGGAAAGAGTGATTTTTCTATCAGTTTGTCCGAAAATTATTTTGGTCTACGTTTGATAGAATTAGGATCCATGTTATAATTAAAGAGCAGTGAAGATTTGTACTTTTGACCTATTAATTCAGGGTAGTTAACCTTTAGCTAGCCTCGTAGCTGGTTGGGGATTAATCATGAACCACAATTAAAGGAAGGTGAACCACAATTTTATATTCTATGCTTCTTTAAATTTGTAGTGTGATCATTGTTCTTATGTATGAGAACAATTAAAGTAGGATTACAGGAAAAGGAAAAGGGAAAACAAAGAATAATTTACTTTCTTCTTTTTTGATTTGTTTATTTTAGAAGCACGAAGGTGAATCTTGATTTCAAGCTGTAATGTTATGGTTTAACAAACGGAATACATTTTTTACACTGAACTAAGCAAAAAAATTGACATAAATTTAATATAATTATATTTATTTCTGTAATGATCAATTAATCAAGTTTTTAATGTATAAAAAAAACAAAGTAATAATATATACTTCTGAAATCGGGTTAATTTAACTATTAATGTTGAACAAAATATCAAAGAAGGAGCTCTCGGCATGAATTAACTGAAAAGGAAAAGTGTATTTTAAATGATCAATACCGAGTATTATTTAATTATTTAAAAATAAACAAAAATGTAAGATGGGTGAAGATAGTATTCAAGGGATACTGGCCAGAAAGGCTAGAAAGATTCTGCAACCAGAAGAGAACGAATTTTTTTTTTTTTTGAGACTCGCACTATGCTTTTACTATTCAAGGGTTCTCGGATGCGAATTGAGCAGTAGCTTGGATAACAGGAAATCTACTTAGCGCCGACAGTTAGTCAGTTGGAAGTCGGCAAAGCAGCGAAGGGTGTACGAAGCACTAGCTTTATTGCTCTTTGTTTATAACATGGACACTTGTTTTATCAAAATGAAGACCAAAATACTTTACCAATTTTCTTACAAACCGATTGAAAAATCATTTATTTATTACACTTATAATTTTAACCCTTATCGTCATCTCTTCTCATTAAAATTCTAATATAATGTTAAAAAATTATTTTAACACCCAAAATTTAAACACTTAAAGAGATCCAAGAAATATATTATATTACCTCTCTATCAACATAAAAGAACAAAGTATGTATATATATATATATATTAGCTTTTGATCTCATGTTTCACGACAGGGTAGTTACCTTTTAGCTAGCCTTATAGTCTTAGCAGAAGGAAATTATGCCCCTTTGGCTTGTTGGAAATAGAGTTAAAGGACAATTTGTCATGAACGTGGAACACAATTTTATATTCTATGCTTATTTAAAGTTGTAGTACTGCGATAATTGTTCTCATGTATGAGAACAATTAAGTATGATTATTGCAAAAGGAAAAGGGAAAACAAAGAATAATTTACTTTTTTCTTTTTTGATTTGTTTATTTTAGAAGCACGAAGGTGAATCTCGATTTCAAGCTGCAATTTTATGTTTTAACAAATGGAGTACATTTTTTACACTGAACTAAGAAAAAAATTTGACATAAATCTAATCTAATTATATTTATTTCTGTAATGATCAATTAATCAAGTTCTTAATGTATATATATAAAAAAAACAAAGTAAAAATATATACTTCTGAAATCGGGTTAATTCAACTATTAATGTTGAAGAAAACATCAAAGAAGAAGCTCACCAGCAAGAATTCAATGAAAAGGAAAAGTGTATTTTAAATGATCAATACCGAGTATTATTTAATTATTTAAAAATAAACAAAAATGTGAGATGGATGAAGATAGTATGGAATGTTAGAAAGTTGATTACAATTTTTTTTTAAAACAATTAAAATTTTCAAATTAAAATAGTTGTTTGATATCCACCTCATCTAACATATTAATTCGATGATTTTCATCTGAATTCAACTTTAGGCTAGATGAAATAACATATTAGTTCTTTTCATTGTAAAAGCAAAAAAGTTTCCTTGTAGACTTTTCTTTTAGATTGAACATAATACAACATCTGAAACTCATCTTGTTGACGTTGATTTACAAAGCATGATCTGACGTTTTATTCTATAGGAGAATAATCATAACTTTATTTTATTCTTATAAAAGAAATAACTAAGACTTTACCTTTATTATATATTGTTATAATAGTTTCACTCTATAAACTAAACACGCAAAACACGGATACTAGTTTACTTTTATTTTTAACAAGGAATAGTTCTTTATAGGGTTCTCAAACGGCTTAATGAAGAAAAACTACAAGCTAGGTTGTTTCTTTGTAGTCATCTCTTGGAAACAAGTTTTCTTGTTGACGTTGATTTTGCCAAGAGCTAGCTGTAGCAGCATTCCAATCATTTTGTTAAATTATGAATACACCTAAAGAAGATTTTAGAGATCAATTAAAGAAAACACTACAAACTATAATTTAGTGCTAAGTTAAGTGACTAAAGGAATAAAGAAATCAAACAAACACCAGGAATATTCTAGAAATGAAAGAATGCTTGTCCACAATTCAAAGAACTTGGAATTTTCTAGTGTATTAGCTAAGATTTCAGCAAGTTCTATGGCTGGAAAGATTGTTCCATTTAGATTGGTTAAGAAGGCTATAAATAGCCATGCAATCATCACTTGTAAGGTAACTAAAAACTATGCTAAGCTTAAAACCTTTGTCCTAAAACTCTCCTTCTTGTATTATATTTCCTATCAACAAAGATTTTGCTTTGTATATCCCACATCCTTCAACCATTTCCAAATTACAACTAAAAACCTTAACTATCAAACTACTTTCATTTCAACCCCTAAACACTAAAACCTCTTAAACTGTCATCATCCTCTAACAGTGGAATCAGAGCTCAATTGATCGTAAGTGGGCATTAGAGTCTATATGGCCACCACAAATTCATCACAATCTATCTCTGTGCCACTTCCCATTTTTGATGGTAGCAACTATGATTTGTGGGAAAAAAAAATGATGACACTCTTCGAGTCTCAAAATCTTACGGACAATATTGTTGGGAAGGGACTTACGGACAATATTGTTGAGAAGGGACTTAAGAAGCCAACAAATATCTCTATTCTAGAAGAAGCACAACAAAAGGAGGTAACAAAACAGAAGGATGCTAGTGCCCTATATTTGATTCAACAGTCACTAGCGATTAAAATTTTTCCTAGGATTAGTGAAGCTTCAACAGCAAAGCAAGCGTGGGGTACGTTGCGGAAGGAGTTTCGCGGCGATTCTGAGGTACGCATCATTAGACTCCAAATACTACGAAGAGAGTTGGAAAATATTGAAATGAAATATTCTGAGACCGTTAAAGATTATCCTTGAAGAATTAAACTAGTGGTAAATCAAATCAGATCTGTAGGAGAAAATTTTATTGATCAAAGGGTTGTTGAAAAATTTCTAGTACAAGAAAATGACTATAGTTACTACTATAGAACAATCAGAAGATTTAACAATTTTGTCAGTAGCTGAACTAATCGGTTCTTTAGAAGCACATGAGAAAATACTCAGTATTACGAAGAAGACTCTATTAAAAGTGCTTTTTAGTCTGAGCTTAATGTAAGGTCTCATAAATCTAAGCATAATACTGAGAAATTAATGGATTTACAACAATATTATATAATATTAAGTCAATGATTTCTTTGAGAACAATTAGTATCTTCACGAAAGCGCTTCCATGAATTAAATTTGAGGCACTACGAGATCAACTTAGAATATCAATATTTAAGTGCATTAAGGATGAGTGTTAAATTATTAATGCACTTGAAAAGATTCTAGAGGTCAATTCTAGAAAATACTACAAACTACAAGTTAGTGCTAAGTTAAGTAGGAAAGTTCTAGAGAAATCATACAAACACTAGGAATGTTCTACGAAAGAAAGAATTCCCATCCACAATTCGATTCTTGGAAGTTCTATGGGTGGAAAGTTTGTCCAAATTTTTCCATTTAGGTAGGTTAAGAGGGCTATAAATAGCCATGCAACCATCACTTGTAAGGTAAGCCAAAAACTATGTTAAGCTCAAAACATGTTTTCCTAAAATTCTTCTCCTTTTATTATATCTCTTATCAACAAAGTTTTTGCATTGCATCCTTCAACCATTTCCAAACTACAAACTAAATTCTTCTTTTGTAACTAAAAACCTTAATTATCAAATTATTTTCATTTCAATCCTTGATCACTAAAACCTCTAAACTACCTCCTTATAAACTACCATCATCTGCTAACACATTTCCATTGCTAAAAGGTATGTACGTGCATGATATACTTGCAGTTCTCTTTGAGTGATAAATTTGTTTTCCATTATATATTAATCGGTATTGGGGGTTAATATAAATTTGCTTAGGATTTCACTTAACAGTATAATTAGCTTTGAGTTGAGATTGTTCATTAACAATAGTTACTTACATAATTTTATGCAGATAGCATTTGAGATAAAACTGGAAGCACCTTATAAGGCAGCCATGAATGGAGAATGGCAAAGCATGATTGACTTCTATCGTGAACATTTCGGAAAAATCGGCTGTCCAGTTACGCCCTCTAAGGATACTGGACTTCATCTAGCTGTGCACAGCAAAAAAGAGCAACCACTTGAAGATTTACTTGAAATCATGAAGAAAAGATCTTTACCTGAGGCATTTCTCAAGAGAAAAAACCAATTTGGAAACACGGCTCTTCACGAGGCAACCATCTATGGCAATTACGAGGCTGTACAGCTCTTGGTAGAACGTTGTCCAGAACTAATTAGGCAAGCAAATGAGTTCGGTGAAACCCCATTGTTTACAGCAGCTGGATTTGCTACGACAGCAATAGTGGAGTTTTTAATCAGATCCAAACAAGAACAATGCGTGGATAATAATGGCCTCCTATTATCAATTCACAAAAAGCGATCGGGAGATGACCTGTCCATCCTTAGCGCTGCTATTATAGGGAAAAACTTTGGTAGCAATTCCTCTTTTTATAGAATTCTCAAATTTAAAAAGTATACATACATAAGATATTGTATAATTTTTGTCTTCCTAATTTCATGAATGCAGAAACAGCTTTACTGTTGCTAGAACTGGATAAATCGCTCATCAGCATGAAGGACAAACATCAAATATCTACTCTTCAACTTCTAGCCGAAATGCCAACCGATTTTGAGAGTGGATTTCGGTTGGGCATATTTGAAAGACTCATCTACTGGTGTATGCCTACTCCAACCACATTATTAGACCTTACAATATTGCCTACACATTCCCTGTTTGAATACCATGGACATACACATACATATATACGTAATAATTTGAACTCTATATTATGTTGCAGGCCTTCCTGTTCCACGTCGCCGCGAGGTAAAATCAAAGGTAAAATCAAAGGTAGAAAGTTGCCGCCGGGAAAGGAAGGAGGTGGGAGATCTTGAGAGCGGTCGGGGGAGGAACTCAGGAGATCTGGGGAGTGACTCGGAGAGGAATCAAAGAGGAGGCCTACTCAACTATTTAAGGGTCCTTGAAGGTATTGGACACAAATGAGGCCAGTTCTCCTTTATATTTCGAGATTAGATTATAAGAATTTGAAATTTAATTCATGGCTTGACCCAATAAAGAGGTTTTGGTTCACATCCTATTTTTAGAAGCTTACGCAAATAATCCTTGTGAGTCATCAGAGATAGAGCCTCTTCCTAAAAAAATATAAAAAAAAATAAAAATATGTGGCTCACTTTTACAGTGGCACGACTTAGATGCATTTCTCCTACTATCCGATTTCTTCTTTTGTTGTTGTTTTGTTTTCTATATGATAATTTAGCATGTCTCTATTTTTTCACCTTTTACTATCATTATTAACATTTCTTTCCATTTCATAATAATGTCAAGCTCTCATCCATGTTTAATTTCATTCCCTTTCGCACGAGCATGATGTAGGATGTTGGCTAGAAAGAATCTGGAACCAGAAAAGAGAGCATGTATTTGCTTTGACATTCGCCGAAAGCCTAATAAAGAAAGATGAGTCATTGAAAAGTTTCACCATAACAAAGGAAGACCAAAATAAAGAAGAAGAAGAAGATGAAGAAGAGCAAGAAATGTGTGGAAAAAAAATAAAAAAGGAGAAAAAACTTCTGAAAACACTAGCAATGCAAAAGAAACTGATAAAGCAGAAACTTCTGAAATCACTAGCAATGCAAAAGACAATGAAAGAGCACAAACTTCTGTATCTGTATTGTCATCATTAACAACTAAAAAGGAGATCCCATTGTTTACTGCAACTAGAAGGGGAATACAAGAGATTGTGGAGCTGATAATAAAACTACATCCTCATGCTATTGACCAGCGCGATGAAATGAATCGGAGCATTTTGGATGTGGCCGTCATGTATCGCCAGAAAAAGATCTTTGATAATGTGAAGGAAAAGAATTTACCAATGGCTAGAATGCGTCAAGGTGTTGATAAAAGCGGAAACACATTGTTGCACCATGTTGCAGATATGAATAAAAACAGTGGAGTAACCAAGCCTGGGCCTGCACTCCAACTTCAGGAGGAGTTGAAATGGTTTGAGGTGAGCCCTTTTCATCCCTTTGTCTTTACTTGATACAAGTTTTACAGAAACCGTTAAACGGTAAAAAGATTCCTCTCCAAGACGCGAGTAATAAAACTTGAACTTAATTAAGACATCAGGCTGAACTAGTTCTCCTAACCAACTACTTAGGGAAAAACTTTAATATTATTCACAAATAAAAACTATCTGCGCTCTAGTAATAACATTTCTGTAATTCGTAGTTTTATTGATCATATTTATCTCCCAATTATTGCAGCGAGTGCAAGACGTAATTCCTTCTTATTATGTCCCGCTTCTGAACAAAGATGGAATGACTGCAAGGGAGTGCTTCGAAATAGCCCACGAGAAGCAACTGGAAAAGGCACAAACATGGATCAAGGAAACATCTCAGTCATGTTCCACTGTAGCTGCACTTGTTGCAACTGTTGTCTTTGCTGCCGCCTATACTGTGCCCGGAGGTTCTGATGAAAAAGGCAAGCCAAACTTCATCAACTCTCCCTATTTTCTGATTTTCACTGTCTCTGATGTTGTCTCCTTAGCAAGCTCCTTGACTTCGCTTGTGGTGTTTCTCTCTTTGCTGACCTCTCCATTTGAGCTACAAGAATTCCACATCTCTCTTCCTCGAAAACTTGTTGTTGGCTTCTCCTTCCTCTTCTTTTCTGTGTTAACGACCATGCTATCCTTTGGGGCAACAATTTTGATACTCATTCAGACAGAGAGGAAGTTGACAACATTACTCCTTTCCATTGCTTCATTCCTTCCTGTCTTAATATTTGCAATACTGCAATTCCGTCTGTACGTCTCCTTTATGGGCTCTACATTCAAAAACTGGATAGCTCATCTATCGTTTCCTGGCCCTTGCCTACAATGGAAGAAAAAGCTCGGTCCCAAGAAGAAGGAAAAAAGCTCGACTTGATTAATATTGGAGACTAAAGTGGCACAGAGGTTTTTCCTTTTTATTGTTGGTTTGCACCTCTACTATTGATCACTACATATTGAGTGTTACAGAATGTTTGATTGATCAATTTCGTGATATTTATGAGGTTGCGCTATCTTCAATGATGGCCTTAGAAGTCAGTATGTGTTAAATATATAGTGTGTAATAAGTTCTGGTATGAAGTTAGGACTAAAATCTTGCTTCAATCGGTTACTTGTAGTAAAACTGGGTGTAAGTTTATGGTTATTATTATTAATGGATATCTCTCTTCGATTTTCTCAATCACCTACAAGTTTGTTTTCTCAATCAGCTTGAGGGGGATTATTTATTGTATTCCGCGGCACTACGAGGTATTGCAAGGATCTTAATACAAGAGATTTTGATCAATCCGAAATAGATTTATTGTATTTAGATTAATTATATGGGTGGCATAATATATATATATATATATATATATATATATAGACGAGTTCGAACCTAGAAGGAGATAAATTGGCCAAACAACTTATCTGACGAAAATATCTTTAACTTTTAATTTAATTATTTAATATGTTTTAAACTTTTTTCGAAGATTCTTTATGCTGTTTTTATAGTGTTAGCTGGATATAACCACCAAAGCTCAAATTACCCTTCAAATTAGGCTCAAAGTTGCTCTTTTATTTAATTTTATTATTTTTATAGTTAATTTTGAAGTTTTTAGCATGATACCTAGTGTTTATGGTATTTTTTTTTAATTGAATTCTGATTGTTTTTACTTTTAAAATTCCAGTTAAAACCTATTTAAAAGGTTGTGATTTCTATTTTGAAAGCAATCTATTAGAAAAAAATAATTCACTAAAATCACTAATCGGTGTGCTAACATATCTTTTGCACCTATTCTTTACGTCTCCATAATTGCATGACACATGCCTCAAAGGCTTGCAAATAATGCACAACCATGGCTAACTAATGGTTTATCCTCAATAAAAATCACTAGATAGAATTGATGATCATTCTCGCACGTCCCCCGCATGGTATCGGCTAGTGATTTTTCATTTCTCGTTTGCTTTGATTAAATCATTAGAATCTTCAGTTAGTATTTAATTAATAACTACTAGAAAACTCAAGTATATTGGACTCATCAAAAATTCATGGGTAAAGAACTGGTTATGATTAGAGAAGGTATTAGCATCCCTAATGCACCCTATCTAAAATAAGTTGCTTCGTGGCTTTAATATGTTAAAGAAGTTTTAAAAATTTTGTTCTCTCATCAAATATTAGAAATACAACTTTCATGTAAGTTCATAATTCTTTAACCGTAAGCAAATTAAAATATTAAATTCTTCTTTAATCTTTGTTATTTTATCATAAAAGAAAAGCATACATTCATAATTAAATAAATGAAAATCCAAACACACACTCACTGTTACTATATTTTTCTTTCCTTTTCTTTTTCTTTTCCATCCACATTTACAAAGTATAAATTATATAAAAAAATAAAAAATAAACAACTTTTACCTTAAACAATTTAAAAATTACAAAATGACCCAAAACAACTCGAAATAGTATCAGGCCTACTTCTGGAGCTGCCGGAATAGTGGTGGCATGTTGTTCCACACGCGGCTGTCACTGGCGATGCGTGAATTGACACGCCGCTGTCGATGAAGGTGACAGAAACTGGTGGATCGGGAATCTCTTCCCCTTCTCTGTCTTGCTACGCTAGCGGTGACCCGCAGCAACAACAAAAACGCAAGAACTAGTTGATTTTAGTTTTTTTTTCCTTTGTTTTTCAAATCTGCTTTGTTTTGTTTTCTTCTTTTCGGTTTGCTGTGAAGGGGTGCTGTTACTATGGAGGAAAGTGAACAGATCTAAGTCTGTGGGAGCTGTTATGCTTTAGCAGCTACTAGCGGATTTAATTCAGTCTTAGCAAGCTGGCTGGCTGGTAGTGAAGCAGATCGGCTGTTCCTGTGATGGGCTCCATTCGTTGGCCGGTTTGTGGGCATTGTTGAAGCTGGGTCGGCAGGAGAAGGTCTTGGTTGGGCGTCTACTGTGAGCGGCTGATTTCTGTGGGCCCCACCATATAGGGGTTGGTCTCTTGGCCTTTTCTGGAGCTGGGGAAGAATGGAGGATTTGAAATGGCCAGGGGAGGGGGAGGTCAATGGAAGGGAACACCTGGGATGGAGAGGAACGACGTTGCTAGGGTGGAATGAGGAGAGAGCCGGGTCTCCGCTTGGTTTGTCTCTTGCTTCTACAATTGAGAGGCAAAAGAAGTTGTTGTGGTCCAAAGGGCTGGGTTGGGAAGAGGATGATCTGGTGAAGGGGTGCTGGTGTTGGGAGATTACAGTAGGGATGAGGGATTGGCTATGGCTTTCTTTTTTCAAGACTGAGGGCCATTAACTGGCTTCTGTTGGCTAGGAGTTGGGTTTCGCTGGAGGGGTTGTTGTTTGTACGAGAGGGTGAGGTTTTTGGCTGGGGAAAATGGTCGGTTATAAGGAGAAGAAACCAAAAATCAACCCCTCCCCCTCCTAGAGGTTTCTCTAGTTTGCTTTGCCAAAGCAAAGGGAGAAAGGAGGTGGCCTCTGTAACAACTAGGATAATTAGTACTTAAAAGTATATTTTTATTAAGGTTTTATGTCATTATTTTGTATTTGAAATATCAATAACTCCTTAACTAAAACATATTTTATAATAACATATCTAATAATATAAGATACCTTTAATTTGTGGTAAATGTTTATTTTAAATACAGGCCTATCACATAAATGAAGGGATTGATTGATGAATTTAAGAACTAAAATTGAAAGGATAAAGAGATGGTCAAACTTAGAAAAGAGATGTTGGTGCAATCCAAACCAAAATACAATTCGGTAATTAAGACATATCTAGAGCTATAGATCTTAGATTTAGGTCTACTTTATATGGATGGAAAGGTAAGACATAGACTTACAACTTTCATAGGAGTCCAAGACTTAAAAAGGTCATTTTCAAGTTCAAATTATAGCAACTACAAAGAAGTCCAAATCTGTCTTCCAGCCCAAGCACTATTTAGTATTTGGCCCATATCTGGAGTTCTAGAAGTCGAAATGTCCTGAATGTTTTACATAAGAAACTAAGATAATTTCTTACAACTTTCATGTTTTCAAGTGGCTCCAATTTTGACATTATCAATGATGTTTTGGGCAAACAAGAGAAGATAAGAATTGTCACCAAGTCAAGAGTTGGTCACCCACTCATCAATTAGTCATTAAATCAATAGTTTCCAATTTTATCCTATAAAAAAGGCATTTGCCATGCATTTACGCATCTTAGTTTCCATACCAAGATCATGCTCATGATTTCTCTCTTTGTGTTTTTTTTGTAATGTTTATACTTTGCTTTAATTAATATCAAGTTTATGCCTTTCATTTCCTTTCATTTACTTAGTTAACTTTTATCTTATTTATGTTATTATTATTTTTATTTATTTTTCTTTCTTTCATTATATTCAATAAGTTTATTATGTCAAGGTGAAAAGGTTACACTAATAGTGTAAGAATAAGTATAATGTAAACTCAATATGGACTTTAATGTTTGATACTAACAAGTTTTATATTTGTTATCTTGTTCACTCTTTATTTATGTTGTATAACACTTGGTGCAACAAATGCTTGATACTTTTATATTTTATACTATATGGTATAACCAACACTTGAGCTATGAAAGGAACTTGATTTATTGTTAACATAAGTTATAATCATAAGTTATACTAACGTGATTTACAAGTATTAACATTAATTGAATAAGATGACTAATGTAATCATGGTATCAATCTATAATCAGATTGGAACCTCATTTGTGTGTGGCTTCTAATTGAATAATAAGAGTTTATACTATACTTGTTTGACATACCATTAGTGGATCCTCTAACCTTCACATTTGTTTTTATCATTTTTAATCGTTACATTAATATTTCATCTCAAAGTTCTCATTTTCTTCTTCTTCTTCTCCTTCTTTTTCTTTATTATTATTATTACTATTGTTATTTTTATTGTTATTACTATTATTGTTTTTGTTGTTACTGTTTATAATTTGTATAATTAACCTCCCTATGGTTCGATCCCGGTCTTGCCTGGTTATTTATTACTTCGACACTCCTATACTTAGGAGAAGTTATCAATCTTTTAGTCGTGTCAAGTTTTTGACATCATTGCCAGGGATGTAAGTTCTTGTACAAATTATAATATTTATTTTGATTTTCTCTTATCACTTTTCTTGTATATAACTTTGTTTCTTTGTTTTTGTTTCTTCTTCTTTTATTTTTTTCTTCCTCTTATTCTATTCCTACACGTGTATGAGAGCATAGTCATGTACATTAAGTGGTAGATTTTATAGGGTATCCTTATCTTTTTCAGAAAATATGGTCAAAGAAGATAACCAGTCACTTCATAATGAGAATAATCATTCTAGAACACTTAGAGACCACATGAATCCCATAAGAACAAGTGCACCATCATACATAGTTTTTCCTCCTGATGCATCTCATTTTAATTTAAAGCCAAGCATTATTCAACTTTTACCTTCTTTTCATGGCTTAGATTTAGAAAATTCATACTTGTATTTAAGGGAATTTAAGGAGGTTTGTAACACATATAATGATTCAAATTATAGCATGAACACCATAAGATTAAAGCTTTTTTCCTTTTTCATTAAACGATAAAGGTAAAACATGGCTATAAAATTTGAGACCAGGATTCATTCGTGCTTGGGATGAAATGCAACAACAATTTTTAAAGAAGTTTTTCTCATCTCACATAACAAACTCTTTCAAAAGACAAATCACTACTTTCACTCAAAAACCAGGAGAAACATTTTACCAATGTTAGGATAGGTATTAAGAATTGCTTAATACTTGCCCTCATCATATTTTGAAACATGGAGATTGGTTTCACATTTTTATAAAGGGTTAATGTTGCGATGTCGTGGTCGCACAAATTAATTACCCTAGCTTAAAACACAACACACAAGATAGTATAGAGCAAGCATGGGGTCGATCCCACAAGGAAGATTTAGTTCAGATTTTTATGTTATACGTTATGCAATTGGGGGGTTTTGATTTGTAATGATCTAAACTATGGAAGAAATTAAACTAGCAAACAAAATCAATTGAAATCAAAATTTATCAACAAAACAAACCTTGGTTGCAAGCACACATCCACCAACAGAAATTAGAATAGATCCTTGAAATAAAACTATAATTTATATTCTGAATTTTTATCTTTTCTTAATGTTGTTTAATTAACAGATCCGTCATATAACTAACTGAC